GGCGCCGCGGCCAAGGCCGCGGCGCGCGCGTTCGACAAGAAGGACATCGCCATCGTCTTCGAGGAGACGGGCGAGGACATCAACCCGCGGCGCGCGCGCCCCCTCGTGGCGACCACGGAAGCGCTTCCGGGCGCGACGATCCGCTCCATCTTCGCGAACCGCGGCGCCGCCGCCGAGATCCTCGCGCTCGTCGGCGTCACGGCGGCGCCGCCGCTCGCGGCCTTCGGCCCCGCGCCGCTCCCCACGGAGGCGCTCGGCGCGAGCGAGGTCCTCCGCCGCGCGGGCGTCCAGCGCGACCGGCGGGCGCCGGCGGTCGTCTACGAGCCCGACCCGCTGCCGCGGTCGCGGTCCCGCGGCCCGGCCGCGGCCGCGCCGCCGGAGGCGCCGCCCTGGAACTTCCAGATCGTCGAGGTCGTCGACCTCGACGAGGAACGCGAGGGCCGCGCCTTCCCGCTCCTCGCCGGCTTCGCGCTGCTCGCGGCGGCCGCCGAGACCGGCGCCGGCGCGCCCCGCGCCCTCGCCGAGGCCGACGCGCCCCTCGCCTTCGCCGAGGCCGGCGCGCCCCACGGCGACAAGATGTGCGCGCGCGCGCGCGCGGAGAACCTGGCGCCGGCGGCCGACGGCGCGCCGCCGCCGCTCGGCCGCGGCCGCGCGCCGGACCTCGAGCAGTCGGGGGCCGGCGGCGCCGCCGTCCCCGCGGCGACGCCGGCGCCGGCGCCGGAGGCCGCGTCCTTCGAGGCCGCCGCGGCGCGCGCGCGCGGCCACTTCGTGCGCGGCGACGAGGTCCGCGCGGGCCTCGGCGTCTTCGCGGACAACGCGGAGCGCCGGGGCATCGTCGTCGCCGTCGTCCCGGGCGACCCGGGCGACGGCGGCGACGTCGTCACGGTCCTCTTCGAGGGGGACGAGACGACGGTGTTGGCGCACGCGGAGAACCTGGCGCCGGCGCACCCGGCCGCGCTGCGCGTGGCGGCCCCGGCCGCGCTGCGCGTGGCGGCCCCGGCGCCCGCGGACGAGGCCGCGCCCGCGGACGAGGCCGCGCTCGCGGGCGAGGTCGCCGCGCCGTCGTCGCGGCGCCTCGTCACGGCCTTCGACGAGGCCGCGGGCGACCGCGCGCCCGGCTTCGGCCGCGTCGCGCGGCTGAGCGACGCGCTCGAGCACATCGAGCTCGACGGCGACGGCGGCGGCGGCGCCGCGCCGTCGGCCGCCGCCGTGCCCCTCGGAGCGCCCGAGCCCGCGCGCCCCGACGTCGTCATGGCCGACCCGCCGCCGCGCGACGCGGCCGTCGAGCCCGACGGCGCCGAGCTCGGCGACGCGAGCGACGCCGAGGTCTCCGAGGACGAGCCCAGCAGCGGCGGCTCCGACTCCGACTTCGAGCCGCCGGCGCCGCGGAAGCGGAGCCTGCCGCCGCCGCCGGCGGCGCCGCCGGCGGCGACGCCGTCGTCCGCGCGCGGCCGCGGCCGCGGCGCCGTCGCCGCGGA